GCGGGTGCTGTGCCCTGGGCTGCGGTGCCATGGCCCGCTCTCTGTTGCTCTGCAGGCCTCTCGGGAAGCACTGTTTGGTGCAGCCAGGTTCCTGAAGTGGAGGGATCTTGAGCACCTGGTGACCATGGAGCAGCCCTGGAGGTTTGGCGAGTGCCTGGTAAGGACGGCCCCAAAGCCCCAGTCCCTGGCTCCCCGAGAGCACCCAGCCCTCTGCTCCCCCCAAAGCCCGGCCCCAGCGGCTGCTGGCCGGGCCTCAGGGCTCTGCGGGCAGGGGAGCCCCGTGCTGGGGGCAGGGAGCGCCCGGCCAAGGGGCAGAGCCTGAGCCGAGCCTTCCCTCCGTGCCCTGGTGCTCTTTGCAGCTGGAAAAGGACAGGAGCCGAGTGGGCCAGTACGTGCGCCAGGCCCTGCCGTACCTGGAGAGCCCAGAGGAGCCCCTGCGAAAGCTGGCCATCAAGTTCCTGGGTGAGCCACAAGGCCGGGGTCCCTCCCCGCCCCGCTGCAGCTCGGCCCCAGCCCCGGCTGCTGCAGCGGCAGCAGGATGCGGCCCAGGGCATGTGGAGCCCCGAGTGGCCTGGGGCCTGCTGCCGCCCTGGGCCAGCCCAGCCCTGGGGCGTCCCCATGGGGGGGACCTGTGCCTCTGGGGCCCTGACAGCCTCTGTCTTCCCAGGGATCGCCGCCAGGTCCATGAAGCAGGAGCAGCCAGAGCTGCAGCTCATCTGCCAGGGTGAGGGAAGGCACCTTCCAGCTGATCCCCTTGGGCCCTGCTCCCTCCTGGCCATGGCAAGAGCTGCCTGGGATGGCCCGGGCAGGAGGGGCTCCTCGCGTCCCCCCACCCCTGGCCTCACCTTGGCTCTCTTTCCTTTCTCTTCCAGCCCTTCAAGGCATGACTGATGACAGCCCTGCCGTTTCAAACCTGGCACTTCAAACGCTCCACATCATCAGAGCTGTACGGAGAACTCCATTCTTCCCATTCTGGTAGTCTCCATTCCTGCCTCTTCCAGCCCGTAGAGGCATGACAGGTGACATCAGACTCGCCATGGCAGGCCTGGCAATTCAACACTGCTACGTGCAAAGAGCTGTACAGACGGCTCCCTACTCCAGATTCCAGCAGCTCCAAGACTGACTGTGCAGGGCGTGGAAGACCCGGCCTTTTCCTCAGGGCAGTGTCTGCCTGTGCTGCTGCAGCTCTGTGGAGAACTGATGAGGGAAGCTCCATCTCCTGGGGCCACGTGAGCCTGTGGGGAAGATGCCTCTTCCCTGCAAGCACCTCCTTTGAGCCCAGCATGGGAATACAACCAACATGTTATCACAAACAGAGGCCCAGGAGTTTTTTTTTGGTGCCCAGTGTGCATAGGGCCTTGGGGAAGAGGGGAAAAGGGCTCCTTGTGCTCAGCAACACTTGCCCCGCTGTGCAGCTTGCCAGCAAAAGGGAGCAGAAGGCCCTTGGCCTTTGGTGGCTCTCCTGGAGCCTCAACGCTTGCAGCAGAGTGGAGGGGCAGAGGCTGGAGCTGTGGGGATCCCTGAGGACCTTGTCCTTGGAGATGGCCACAAGCCCTCCCCCAGCCAGGAAGCAGCGTCTGTGTCCTGCCTGTGTGTTGCTGGCTGGATTGCTCCGGGCTCCCAAGTGCCTCTGGAGCGGCTCCTCTGGAGCTCCTTCAGGGCTGCGCCGCTGCCGGGCAGGTTGGCGGGGCTGGGGGAGAGCCGCAGGGGAGGGGGCGCTGGGAGGCCAGGAAGGAGTGAGGTGCTGCGGAGGCCCTGATGGGACAAGGGAGCGGGAAGCCTTGAGGGGAATCTGGGAGGGGGTGGGTGGCAGAAGGCTGCGAGGGGACAGACTGGGCAGAGTCCCCGAAAGGCAGGGTGGAGGGAAAAGGCCCCAGGACTTGGGGGGCAGAGGCCATAGGCAGCCCCCAGGCAACCACCTCCTTCCCTGCCAGCCGGCTGCTCTGGTGCTTTCCCGAGGCATCTCGCAGCCCTGTGGCAGAAACCCTGGAGGCCTCAGCAGCAGGGTGGGCACAGCCCCAAGGGGGCCAGGCTGGCCTGGCTGGGGACAAGGAGGGCAAGGGGGCCCTGCCGGGGCACATCCGCTGGGTGCTGCCGGCCAGGGGCAGTGGCACGGGCAGGGCTGGCGGCCAGCCCGGGCCCCCGCGGCTGCCCAGGCCACGGGGCTGTGGCCGACACCCCGCTGAGCCAGAGCTCTGGGCCCGCAGAGCTGCTGCCACCACGGGCAGGGCGCTGGGCTCCTCGGGCAGGCCTGCGCACTCGCTGCTGCCCAAGCGGCTCCGCGCCCCACACACAACAGCACCAGAGGCTGCCCAGGAGCAGCAGCACCCACAACGCC